TGCTAAATTGCTGTCTGCTGCCATTGCCTTGAAAAATTAACCAACCAAGTAAGTGTTTACCAAAACTGACACACTTTTATTTCGGGATAAAGAGGGAGTGGATGCGGGCGCAGAAGCTAGTCGACAGGTAGAAGAGAGAGAGATAGACGGATTAATGGCCCACGAAAAGCTCTGAGCAAAACAATGTCAGCATGAGGAGCCCAAACACCTGTGACTGACTGTGTGTGACATCATTTGACAGCCCAACGGGGGGAAATCATGACAGTCACAACACAAATGAATGATCAGCAATTCCACAGAGATGGGAGACTAATTCATGTGTGCACTCACATGCATAAACCCTAAGCAGAGCTCTGACACGGAGGTGTTGTAATTGGCAATGATGCTGCCGTAATGCCGCTTATATTACTAATGCCGCCTCACCTCCCATAAGGACACACAAACACAACGGAGAAAACATTAAAATGACATGACACTCTCGCTAAAACTGCCGGCAGCTGCAGCTCAGCGGTTAAGTTGCCATGGCAGTTACTGAAAGATCCATCTAGTGTTTGTATGAGCGAGTGTGTGAATGTGACAGCCTGCATATCCATTTTAGAGTAGGAGAGACCGCGAGTGTGCGATGGACTGGGTCTAAACATTCAATGAGTCCAAGTGTGGAAAAGTTGCAGATGGAAAGAAAAACAAGAAGTATAAAGTTATTATGCCTCTATTGGCCGCCCCTCCTCCAGTCCTCCAACCCTCCCTTTTGTTTTCTTTTGTTTGTAGCTTTTAGATGATTTTTTCCATCTCCACCCCCACTGCCTCTACCCACATCAGGAAATAAATGAGAGAAAAGGAGCACATTTACGCTTTATTGTCTTTTTCTCTATTCAGCTCCTGGAATTCTAAGGGCTACTGGCAAGATTCACACACTCACAAACAAAGATACTCTGTCACAATTCAGCACATACGTTTCCAATATACACTACGGGCTACACAGGCCCTCGGATACATCAACACACACTCTCACACACAGTATGCCACTTGGATTGCACTATAAACACATTGATAAAACCATTTCTATAATAAGCTGTGTTTGTCAAAATGTCAGCCCTCGGCCCCGCAGCCATTATCACTGCTTCAACATTTATAGGGCTCTTTAAATAAACGGCCCAAGCCTTCATGGCCTACAGTGATACCCATCTCAAAGCTTACACACATACACACACCCACTGACATATAAATTTTCTTCTTCTCACTGCGTCTTGGTTACACTACAGACTTAATGACAATATCCTTGAAGCAACAACTGGAGTGTTGTTTTTTTTTTCTTCCTTTGTTTCATTTCTACAAGTTGACAAAATTCACTCTCACTGCATTTTTACAACATTCAAAGAAAATGAAAAATTATGAGCAAGATTTTATTCAATCTTTTTTTTTTTTTTTTTATTGAAATCATGGCTCTCTCCAAGATAAACATTTAAAAAAAGAAATATGAGCTTCATCATGGGACACATGAAATTTGCCATTATAGAAGAAGCAGGCAGCAACCTCCAGTCTTGAGAAAAGGAGTTGATGCCGAAGCATGAATAAATCCGCAGTTCCCCGAGTGTCCACTTGAGGAGAACTGGAAACCACATACACACTTACTTAAGAAAGCTCACTTATGTGCAAAAATAAACTTGTATAGACAGGTTCATTTAGTTTGAATGGCTCATTCCTCACTCTCTTTACAGGTTGTATTGGAGGAAATTTTTATCATTTATAAAGGTATTACGGTTTCGAGAGGCACAGCCGACTTGTCTGACTGGTAGATGCCATGTTGTTTAGAAAAGTCAATTTTTGACACAGTCTGACTGAAACTGGACTCTGACTGAAATCTGACTTAATCAAACTTTTCATGGTTGGACTAACATAGTATAGTTGGGAATCTTTTTTTTTTTTCCCATTTTGGTTAACTCAAACTGAAACTAGTCTAAGTGTCAAGTGCATGAACTGATGACCGCATGCTGAGGTGGATTGCGTGGATACGTTGATAGGAAGACAGTTGATAAACCAAACCTAGACGGATGAAGAAGGAACCTTATATAATACAAAACTTTGCTATCAAACAAAAAACAGTACAGAACTGTGTTTTCATCCTTCAATGAACATTCTGTTAGCCTCTTGTTTAAGTATTTTGTCAATGTTTTGAGATGTAATTGGTCAACTGAGAGATGGCACTAAACTAAAAGGGCGTATGTTGCCACCTGCTGTCGCAGAGGTGGACTTGCTTCTGTCAAAAATCCAATTTTTGACCGGTGCATAAACTAGGACAAGGACAGTAGCCCAGTTAAACCCCTAATCAAGTTATAAACCATTTTAAGTGTGCATGTAAACACACTGACTGCTGTAAGCTTGAAGGCTAAAGTCTGCCTAAATTCTGCTTTTTAGGAGGTCAACTGAAAGTTAGGTTGAGTCAGTAATTTCCATATGGCGATCGCTGTCAATAAGCAGAGAGATGGCCATGTAGTGTCTTATATCAATTACTTTTTTCTTTATATAGCCCTAATTTACAACAAATAATATAAAGAGCTGGTCTAGACCATACTCGGGGGGCGTCCAGACTTTTTTCCCTTCAACCTGGGTGGCTAATTTGGGGCACTGTGTCATCCAGGTAATGTCAGTAAGTATCTGCATTTTCTTTGTTATTCTCAGTCAATTGATTCATCAGTCTTTATTTATAACGCACCAATTCCCAACAAGTGTCAACCCCAGATGTTCAAGTAAACATCCTACTATAAATAATTTATTTTAGAAATTAACTCAACAGAGTGGTAGCATGAAAATATTCAAAGCTCCAGTCTTTTAAAAACTCAGGAAGAAAATGTGTGTAGAAAGCCAAAATTAACAATAAAATTCATGAGAATTGAAGGCTGACATTGAAACAGTCAGATGTTAACGCACTGTCAGAAACAGCCATGTGCTGTGAGTAAAGTACACCCCACATTAGTATACGCATATTATCTTATAGATTAGCCCCTGTAAGATCCCTGGATGTGTAGCTTGGGAGTCGTAGCTTAGTAACTCTGGCAAAACCACAGCCTCACGCTAAAGGGCTTTCATGAATTAAGTGATCATCCAGAGCTGGTAATCACAACATCCCTAAACACCATCTGCCCACACACTCCCTATGTAAACACTGACACATTCTGACATGCACACGCACTCATAACCTAACTGAATAGTATCATCTCTGAAATACTTGACATTCTCTTATTTCATTTGTTGAGGTCGTAACGAATAAGCTATCCAGTTAAATCAATGACAGTTTGTGAATTTACTCTGCATCTTCACACAGGTGTGTGTATAAGCATTGCAAGTCAGACTGAGCTCATGTTATGTCTTTGCAGGAATGTTGGTCTTTAAATGAAACAATGATCCCATAAAGAAAACCTTTTCCTGATTTGAAGTCTCTGCATATTATTGCATTCACAAACCAAACCAAGACAGCAGTAAAAAACAGATAACAGTCCAGCTTCCTTTAAACTGATCTGCTGCAATGGCTACAGTTTTATTGATCGAATGCCTGCATAGCATTTACTGTAAAGAGCCCAGTTTATTACCATTGATATCAGAGATTTATCATATTCATTCACATGCTCCGGCTCCAGTGGTTGAGAGTCTGATTTGTGAATATGGATGTGCACATAGAGTAAACACCCTTGTTTGTGCTTTATTTTGTATGGGTGAGTTGGTTGCCCGTGCCGGTGTTTTACCACTAAACTACTATATCAGAGTGTTATTGGTACCCTCCAGTTAAAATGAGATCTATTTACAAGCGTGGTTTGAGGTCAAACTTGATGGGATACTTAGAATAACAACAAAGAAAGATCACAATATGAAAGAGAGGAGAAGGAAGTGAATGCTTTTGAATATTGAAGGACACAATGGAAAAAATGGTTGGGGAAAACTTTTAATCAGCTCTTTTCAGGATTCAACTCATTCAGTCAAACAGTCACCTGATTTGACAAAAACAGTCTTTGATAAGTTAAAAAAAACGTGTAAAAAAAATACAAATCTACATTTCATTGCTACACAGATGTCACTGTTTTACCTATTTATTAGTTTTCAACTTTGTATTTTGCATGTTGTCAATATTTGACACCAACTCTTGCCTTCCCTCCTCCTCCTCAGAAACTTTGGCTCATTCGCATCGCAAATAAAACAACACAGCAGCAAGCAGTGCGACCGCTAAACGGAGGTAGTCGCCATTCTTTTATTTTGCAGAAAGTGGAGAGATTAAACATGAATAAACATCGCAGCTGTAGCTGGGATACTTTTAAAGATATCAAATAGCGTATTCCTTTAAATTGGTTCAAAGTAAATCCTTCTTGCATGAAAGTTTATACACATGTATTAATGTAAAAGTACTGTAATGCACTGTTTCATCTTACCCTAAGTGAACAAACCGGTGCTTGGCAACTTGTGAACAATGCTACGCCCCTCCCTCCTCTTCCTGTCTCAAGTTGTTCGGAAGTCGTGAGAAAATCACAAGACTCCGCCCGCCCGCCAGCTCGCTTGCTGGCAGTACAGAAATCAAGTAATTACTATACACAATTACACCAGAGAAGACTGGCATTGGTAATGCTTCATTTTCTAACAAACTGTATGATTATAACAAAAACTGAGAGCATCAAAGCCCAAGATGGTACAAGATAAAATGCCTCAGAGCACAAAAAGCTTATTTTAAAAGACTGATACAACAGGAGGAAATCATAATGTTGATTTGTAATGTTTCTGGTGTATTTTTGGTGCATATTACAGTTTTCTCATTATAACATCAACACAGCACTACACATAATCACATGTACGTACACCAGTGGCGGCTGCTGGTCTTTCAAGGAGGGGAAGCTCATTTTTCTGGCCTACATCATAATTGTATTTGTTTATTAGTATGTAACAGAACAGAGTCGCCAAACACAACGGCAGTCGTTGGTAAAGTCTCTGGAGCAGTTAAGAACAACGGAATGAATGACTTGGAAAATGCTCTGGTAGATGTTTTATTCTTCAAGATCGCTGATTCGCTTGTTTAGCTGTCAATCAAAAAAGGATTTCGCCTCAGACAGCTCATCCAATCATGAATGCAGAAGCTTGGAGTCCGGGAGAAAGTCGGGACCGCCCTCTCGCCATAGAACTCCAGTGAAGCTTAGCTTCCATTGGGCGGGACAAAGCCCAGCATTTATCCAATGAGCGTCTAGTTTCGCTGCTGGAACAACCCACTTTAAGCTTCCACATTGAAGTCAGCAGAAGCCCAGCGTCCGACTGTTTGAAGCGCTGAGGCGCTGCGAGGATGAATGAGAACGAAGTTATGCCGGTTACCTGTGATTATCAGCTTCTTATCACAGTGTCTGAACAAAAGTTGAAGGCTTTCTAGCGCGCATTTAGTTAATGAAATGTACACACAGCCGTACGTATTTCACCACTTTTTCTTTTTTTGGGGGGGTGACATTTTAAGGGAAGCCGAGCTTCCCTTGCAGTCTTAGAGCAATCGCCACTGACGTACACATAAGAAAAGAGAAAACTGCTCACATCAAGTGGATGTTACAAGAACATCACAGCAATGTGAAATAGAACCTAGCCTATACTACAAAATAGTTCTATAAAGACATAGATATACATAGATATACATAGATATCACTCTACAAGCTCCAACCTGATTACACTGATTTTAAAAGGACACTGAAAAAAGCACAGCAACAGTGAACATCACAGTAACATTAGAAGAATATGGAAAGCTGCAGATAGTTGAAGTGCACGTTACGTTAAGTGCATATTACAATATTTGGGCATGAGTCTCAAAAGCTCGCTGCCCCAGTCAGAGTGCATGTTGACAAATGAAATTGAACAGTTCACTGCTCGAGCTCTACACAATTCTACCTTTGAGAAAAAATACATTGCATATACACTCATACACGTCTTTATAGTATAAAAATGTTTCCTACCTTTGTGTAGGTAACAAGGCTGTCAGACTGAAAATAGCTCTGAAGTGGACCCATTGTTGACACATGCCAATTCCATGTTCACACCTGAGTTTGGTCTTCTCTAAACCTGCACCAAGAATGAGCAAACCCTCAATTACCCCAAAGCTTCCTTTCCTCTGAGGAATGAAAAAATCCCATAATACCAAAGTAGACTCAGATAAGTGTAACTCCCACTGTTCTTTGTTTATGGAGGAGGAGAAGAACCATAGAAGCAGTTTATGTAAAAACTCCTAATCTTAGTCCCAAATTAATAGTCTTATCCTGGATACACCAGAGAGAATACCTGCAAAACCCAATTATACCGGAAAATCCCTTTACTCATTCAAATGCCAGACAGTCAGGCATGCTCTAGGCTTTAAAAAAAAAAAGCATTTCAGAGAAATCCACCACAGCTTCAGGGTTTCTATTTCAGGCCACACTGCATTAGAAATGATATAGACAAGTTTGATGAATGTAGTACTGATAAGAGACAAGGGAAAACTTATTTTTATAACAAGTTCAGATACTGTATAGCTACATAGTTTAGATTATGATTGTGTGATAGCAATAGCAAATTTCCTCTTCAACAGTTTTTAAAACCTAGATGTGGTTTTACAATTAAGTTTCCAACTGCACACAGTTTGGGGGACTGAAAAACAGGGTCTGGCTGCAAGACAGTCTGGCATATATCCAAAAACACTGAAAAGTAGAGTTCTACCATCTGTCTTTGGGTAAAGGTTGAAAACTTCATGTAACTTAATTCATTTTCTCCAAGCTGCTGTGCAGAAGGACAGTTTTTTTACCTTTTAAACTTGAGCATAATTTGACTGTGTAAAAAAGCAATGGCACAAATAGACGACCTGTGACTTGGTAAAAGTTTATACATAGTTTGCTGTGCTGATGCAGAAACTGATCATCTGTTATAAACAACTTGCAAAATTTGTTGTTTTTTTAACCTTTTTTTTTTTCCAGGATCATGTGATTCATCTACACATGACTGCATTGTTCCACTTGATCACTTTCCAGTTTAAGGTACAGGGTATATAAGATACAACAGTAAAAATTTAAATAGTCAAACATGCATAAAGTTTAAAAAAAGACAGCACACAGTGTAACTAATGTTAATGCACATCGAGTTTGTTAGTTCTGTTACAAGTCCTTCTTGCCTAAGCTGCGTCTCCTTTGTCTTTGTCCAGAAATATATAGCTGCTAACAGGTGTTAAATCACCTCCTGGCCATTCCCTTCCCTTTCTCATTCCCCTTACACTTTCTGTCCTCACCTTCACTTCCTTCTCATCTGACATTCATCTCCTAGCTCCATCCTCCATTACCATTCTGTTCACTGCACTGATATTTGAACTAATGAGAACAGTATAAAGTCAGAAGAGGAGGCAGAATTCACCCTCTAATGAGTCTGCATCTCTATATAATGCCGTGAGTGTGATTGTGTGTATGTGTGTATGAGAAAGACAGGAGTTTGTGCACTGTGTGGGCTAGTACATGAAGTGTTTCAGGGTGTACATGCATTCATTTTTATGAATGTATGTATGAGCTTTAAATCCAGACTCATATCTAAGGTGTATTATCTTATTTTTCAGTGGGATATAACGGGATTTTATGTGACTGTGTGAGTGTTGGTGCGTGGGTGGATGAACATAAATGCAGACAACAATTGAAAAAGCATTCCTGTTGGTTTTTTCTTTCTTTTTTGTGTGTGTTTGTTTCTTTTTGATTCTTTGTTTTTGCATGCTGCTTTTCACTGTCAGTTTCTTTCATTCATTAAACAAAGCTTTCAGCCTGGCCAGTCCTGTTTTTTATTTACCAAATGTGGCCTAACTGTGAGATCATTTTTATTTGCACACATTGGTCTAACACTCATTTAATTAAAAAGTCATCTTGAGCCACACTTAAAGAAAGAAAGAAGGTTTATACAACATGTCAGACTTTATGTCTGTTTCCGTCTGATAACTTCTTTTTTTAGAGTAGATGGCGACTCATATGAGTGACAGCGACTGAGGTGAGACTGTTTGTAACCATAGAGGGCAGATAACAAGGTGTTTAGTGAATGCAATCAGCTTTGCACATGCACACACTCATTCAAGGTGCACAAACACATGACATGTATCTGCATGAATGAGGCAAGTCTAAATCCAGAACAAAAGCAAAAAGATGTCACTGAACACCGACACTCTTTTAAATTCTGCCCCTTTTTGAGCGTGTTGTGATTTAACAGTTTCACTATAAGCTTGTAGGCTTCAAGTTATTTATAGCATGTTGTTAATTTGTTGCTTGTGAGTCAGTGTGTGTGTGTGTGTGTGTGTGTGTGTGTGTCAAGCCATTTTCTTTCCATTCAGCCTCAGAATCAACCGACAAAGGTGATATGCTAATTCCTAATATGCAAATGAGGCCTGTGCTTTGCCAGTGACCTCCAGTAACCATAGTAACCTACAGTATAAGAAAACTTTCAAGTGTTTAAAATGGTCACAGGCTATTGCTGTCTGTGTTTGCATGTGTAGGCAAGATATAGGCTAAATTGCACTTGCTTGCTATTGTATCTATTTTTGCACTGTGCCGCTCTCATGCAGGTGCACTTAAGTGTCCCTGCACCGTCTCGTCTACCACAGCTATCTCTGCCAGGGCCTCGGGGGATTGTTAAAAAGCATCTCCAGGGAAACTAGAAGAGAAGCCGGAGAAGATGGAGGGTAGAGTTCTTGGAGGTTCAGAGATGTTTCTCAAAAGTTAAGGAGAAGAATCAGCAGAGACTTTCATGAAAGCTTAGGAAAGACTTGTTTGTTAGTCACCATAGGTAGTTGCTGCACAGTAAGAGGGGGAATCCACAGTATGCGATAAAATGTGACATAACATAAAAAATAATGGGATTCAACACTAAATCCAATCCTGGTTTCTATTATCTTTTTACGACATATTGATTACATTTTTGCATTTTTAATTACATTATTAAATTGTTTTACTGAGAATGAGCTTCAAGTTGAACAAAGTGGTAGTTCAGGCAGGACAGGGTGTTATTTTTCAACTGCTTTGGCCTGTCTTCTCTTGCTGCTTCCTCCACCACCGCTTTGCAACCCACCTTTATCCCAACTCTTCCATTCATGCCATGCCTGATCCTATCAGTGTCACAGGTATTGTCAGAGATATCAGCTCTGTTCTGCTCTAGGATTTTTACTACTGCTTCTCTCCCTGCATTGGCTTTAATGTATGCATGCACATGAAACAGAGGGGAGGTGCTCTCTTGCTGCAGGCTTGCGTATTCCACATCAGCAGATAGAGGGGCAGGGAGCTCTAAGAACAAAGCCATACCACAAACTATTAAAAGTGCATTTGGTGAACGTGGTCCTGACTGAGCTGCTTTTATCATTGCTTTTTTAGCTTTTAGATTTTTGTTATTTTGGGCAATTAAGTTGCCCTGAGCTGTTTCCTTGTTCCTTTTGTTTTTTTTGCAAATTTCCCCAGAGATGTCAATCCCAAGGGTTGTCAGTTAACAAGGTTGCTTTGCAAGAGTTTAGAAACATGACTCTGTATCAGAAGGACATCATTTACAGTACATCATACCAGTAGAAGTTTCAAAGAATCTTGAAAATTGTCTGTGCCAAAGGGAAAAGGACAGAAAAACCAGCACTGGATGGCTGTGAACTTTGGGATCTCCAGCAGCACTGTAGGCGGGTGCATATATTAAGTAAAAATAGAAAAAAACACCTTATCCTAAAAAAAATTCTAACTAAAGTTTTTTCAGCTGTTTTTTAATATAGTATTAGGTGTCCTTAGTAACATACTAAAAGTTTACCAAAGTTTGACCACTAGAAAGGTGTCATTTTCATGATGGGTAGAAAGCCTGGGGAGACACCCCAGGCGAATAGGGTGAAATTTTAACTAACAGATATCACCATGAAACTTCCCAAGTTTATAACTTACATTAAGACAAATATTGTGTTTGAAGAAGAAAATGAGGCAATATCTAATTAAATGTGCACTAATTTGCATACATTTCTAGAACTGAAAACTGAACAATGGATAAAGCCCTTTCGAAATTCTTGTTTTGTTTTTTTTTTGGGTTTTTTTTTTTTGACATACTAGAGTTGGGGGGGTGGGGTGGGGTGGTTGGATCTCTCTTTTTATCACTCTGTAAATGAAAAAAAATGTCACCACCCCTAAAAATTCAAATATCTCCATGGGTTTTTCTTAGTTAAAAAATTCTTACTATGTGTTTTTATTCAATATAAGGCATATAAATAATATTGCAGTTGGAATTTTTTTTTTACCTTTTTTTGCTAAGGTTTTAGTGACATGTCCACTAAAGTGGACAACATACATTTGGTCGACATTACAGAAAATGAATTGTATTGATACAAATAATAGAACCCCACCCCAAAAAGGAGTAAAAACAATTAGATTCACATTTTAAAACATTTTAATTCTGTGTAAATGCACATTACAAAACATGGCTTGTGTCAAACAAAAGCAACAACTGTCAACTGTGTCAAACGAACTGAAACTATTAGCCTAATGAGGCTTCAGGCCAGGTGCTACAACTTCAGCCAGCACACTCAAAGCAAAAACAAATGCCATAGATTGGATCATTCATGAAAATAATATTTGACGATGGCAGTTCCTCTACAATTCTGTACTTCCTCTGGTCCCTCTCTGTGCGTGAACCCTGCAATAATAAATAACATAATGTGAAAAATAATGCACAACCAATCAATCTTTCTTTCTATCTATCTTATTTATGTATATATATTTTTTCCATTGTTTTTATAATATTTTGTGCATGCACTGTTTGTAGTGTGTGTGTTACAATGCGTGCACAAAATATAT